CTGAACTTTACTCGTTTGCCATGGCTGGGAGTCGCCATCATCTCTTCAGTTGAGTTACTCCCCACATAAGCAATGCGTGCTCATGCTACGAGATTGAGTTCAAAAAGAAGAGAAAAGATATGAGCCACAAATGTACTTTAGGACCTGATTTCAACTTTCATCAAGATGTAACGTCAAAGTTACTCAAAGAAAACGCGATTGCAATCGATCGTGATGGCTACGAAGTCAAATCAGTTGTTGCAGAGATTGCGTGTCGCCGAGTCTATACCATAATTATGTGTGTGTGTGTGTGTGTGTGTGTGTGTGTGTGTGTGTGTGTGTGTGTGTGTGCGTGCGTGTGTGTGTGTGTGCGTGTGTGTGTGTGTTTGTGTGTGTGTGTGTGCGTGTGCGTGCGCGTGTGCGTGCGTGTTTGCTTGAATTCACGCGTGAATGTGTTTGTGCTCCATCGCTGGCTTTTACATTCTGCATCGTGCACCAGCTACAACAAACGGTAAGTATCCACCACTATCTGCCTGTCTAGCTTTTTTCTGATTTCTGCATGTAAAATTACTCTAGTGACCGTTGTATATCCTTATTGACTTCTTTTTCCTTGGTGCAAGTCACACTCCATGTATTTTCTTCATTCTCTTTACCTTTACTGGGTCTTCACATTGTCCATACCCTCAACTTTTAACTATTCTTGTTCTTTTTTGCCTCATCGGCGCTCTTTTAATTTGTGTGTCAACACTGTTGAATTGTTCAATGTTAAATAAATACTTGGTCCGCCCAGTTAAAATTGGGGCTTATCTTCACACTTGTCTCAGGAAAAAAATACGAATATTTGAAGCAAGCCACGATCACAAAGCACTATATACATGTCAGTAAGCAACTCAGTCGAAAATTCAAGCAAGTTACACATCCTCCTCGCCACTATCGTCGCTGGAGGAGGAGCTCAAAACGTACGATCCGGACAGCTGCTGCACGGGTCGTTTCCTAGCTTGTTCCACTTCTCCTCGTCTCGAATCACGCTCAAAGGCAGTGCGTGCCTGTCACCTTCCCATCAGAAGCTGAGTGAGACTGCCCGCATGTTGATTGTAAGTGTTATCCCCGTTCGTCGCAATAATGCGACTTTGTTTGAGACAAATAGGCAACGCCATATCAGTGTCCTTTATTCAAATCGCCTCTTGCGCTTGTCGTACTTGCTGTACTTGCACCCGTACCCACAAGAGCCGCTGGTGCTTGCACATGCAGCGCAGTGATAGCTTCCACTTGATGTAGCACCTGTGCGTACTGCACCTACAACGCCGTGCACCAGGCTTTTCGGCTAGTTTCCTGAAAGTCCTTTGCACGAGTGTTTCTCTCAGGACTTGGTGTTTCCTTTGATTAGCTCCTTTGCCCTGTCCTCTGTGAGCTTCAAAGTGTGTCCGCCGGATTGGTCTCACTTACTGGAGACATCGACATGCGCTGCAGTTTCTTCGTCAGCGATTTGCTGGTGATAGCCCTTCACTAGGCACTGTACTGTGCAAGCACTGAAATTCAAGCTGGCGAAGCGCTTTTTCAGCTTTTCTATACCTCCCCGGGGTGAACAATCCTTGCCATCAGACAGCTGGAAGTAGACACAAACTGTATTCTCCATCGCTCTGAAATGCGAACATTCTGACCTATTTTACGGACTCGAGCGGAGGTTGCAGTGTTTTCTTGCGCTGACGGAAGTGTTCGTTGGCGGCAGCTCCGTCAAAAAGACTCAAACGAACCGATCGCAACTTCTGTGATGGTTTGTGCTGCCACGTCGTCGGATGCAATGGTCAATGGTCATGTTCGGATGGTGAATCGGTGGTTCCATGCCGTGTGGCACAGGCAGAACACCGAAAAACCAAGTGAGAAGATAAGCGCCAATTTTAACTGGGCGGACCAAGTACTACTACTACTACTACTACTACTACTACTACTACTACTACTACTACTACTACTACTACTACTACTACTACTACTACTACTACTACTACTACTACTACTACTACTACTACTACTACTACTACTACTACTACTACTACTACTACTACTACTACTACTACTACTACTACTACTACTACTACTACTACTACTACTACTACTACTACTACTACTACTACTACTACTACTACTACTACTACTACTACTACTACTACTACTACTACTACTACTACTACTACTACTACTACTACTACTACTACTACTACTACTACTACTACTACTACTACTACTACTACTACTACTACTACTACTACTACTACTACTACTACTACTACTACTACTACTACTACTACTACTACTACTACTACTACTACTACTACTACTACTACTACTACTACTACTACTACTACTACTACTACTACTACTACTACTACTACTACTACTACTACTACTACTACTACTACTACTACTACTACTACTACTACTACTACTACTACTACTACTACTACTACTACTACTACTACTACTACTACTACTACTACTACTACTACTACTACTACTACTACTACTACTACTACTACTACTACTACTACTACTACTACTACTACTACTACTACTACTACTACTACTACTACTACTACTACTACTACTACTACTACTACTACTACTACTACTACTACTACTACTACTACTACTACTACTACTACTACTACTACTACTACTACTACTACTACTACTACTACTACTACTACTACTACTACTACTACTACTACTACTACTACTACTACTACTACTACTACTACTACTACTACTACTACTACTACTACTACTACTACTACTACTACTACTACTACTACTACTACTACTACTACTACTACTACTACTACTACTACTACTACTACTACTACTACTACTACTACTACTACTACTACTACTACTACTACTACTACTACTACTACTACTACTACTACTACTACTACTACTACTACCACCACTACCACTACCACTACCACTACCACTACCACTACCACTACCACTACCACTACCACTACCACTACCACTACCACTACCACTACCACTACCACTACCACTACCACTACCACTACCACTACCACTACCACTACCACTACCACTACCACTACCACTACCACTACCACTACCACTACCACTACCACTACCACTACCACTACCACTACCACTACCACTACCACTACCACTA